GCGCGCTTCGCCGACGCCAGGGAACGCCGCGAGCCCTCGGCAGTAGTCTGAGACTTGCTGCGTCGATGCCGAATCCACGCCCAAGGCGGCAGCAGTCCAATTGGCGCCGTTCGCGCCCGCGCCGCGCCGCATCTCTATAACCTCGACGTCGGATATATCCCGGGGATTTTCCCCGCGGGCATCTGCCACCCAGCGGCGCCTTGCCGCGGAGGCCTAGGGAGGGGCGACTGGCAGGGGGACACGAGCCAGCGGAAGATCGCCCAGCTTCCAAGAGGAAATGGGCGCATTCCGATCACGACGGCCACGCGGCGACGAGGGCCGCCCAAACGGACGCGGCGGCGACCGCGCCGACGCGGCGGCGAGGCACCGAGGCCGGGGCGGCGGGCTACAAGAACGCGAATGTGCCGCAGCTCCACACGCCGCCCACTCGCTCGGCACGCGCCGGCGACGGACCACGCAGTCAACGACGGGAGCACGACGGCCTGGAACTCCCCGTTCACCGAGGGACCGGCCACTCGTTGATTCAAGATAGCAGGCGGCAAGTTGATCAGAGGCTTCAGATGCAGCGTGACTTCGGCGCAGCGGTCCACGGGCACCTCGTCGGAGTCGAAGAACTCGCCGCAGTCTTGCAGACGATCGCGCCGGCCGCCCGCACAGGGCGATCGCCCAAGCACGGCCTCGAAAGCGGCGACCCACGATTGCGCGTCGGTGGACCGCAGCTGCCCGAGCAGCGCGGCGCGCGCAGTAGCGGACGCGTCGCCCCCGTGCTGCCAGCGGACCTCGCCCCGCTGAACCACCAGGCGGAGCACCTTCGGCAGCGGCTGCTCGGCGCCCACCAGCGGGGCCGCGCTGTCAGGCAGCACGCGGTGCGCAGAGCTGGGCGCAATCCCCGTGGCTGCACGGACCGACGCCCACGTCGTTGCGCGGGGGGCTCACCGCCGCCTGGCCCTGCGGGTCGGAGGCCACAGCGCGGATGCCCACGCACTCGCAATCTACGGCCACTGCGCGCACAACGTCGCGACCCGCCGCGTGCGCCCCCAGCCAGCACGCGTCGCCCCCCGACACTGCGTCGGCGCGGGCTCGAAAGACCTGCCGGGAAGCGCCGCCAAGAGTCTCCTCCGAGGCGTCGTCGCAACGTTTCCGAGAAAACTCAAACGAACACTTCGGGCAGACGACGTTGTGGGCAATGTTTCCCCATCACCTCTGAACGTCTGGCCACTGGGTCAAGTTCGCTCCACTGTTATGCCTCTTCATGTTGGGGAGTTTCTGAAATTTGGGCGCCGACGCCAACGGCGGGCTGGGGTCTGCAGGGGCGGGCGGGGCTCGCTGAAGAATAAGACACGGCTGCCGCTGACACCGAAGGGGCTGGCGGTGCATGCGCTGCGAGCTTGACTGGGCAATCCGCTCGGTGGTTGCTCAGAAAGTTCTTGGCCGTAGGCCAAGAGCACCAGCCGGAGCACTGCGCGTGGAGTGCGCCGCACCACCACTTTCCGCATGGCAGCGAGTCGGTATGCGTGGCCGTGCGGTTGGAGCAGGAGGTCCAGAATGGACTTCAGATAAACATTGCGTGCCCCTCGGAGGGGCAAGCCGGCTTGCAGCGCGCGTCCACCGAATGCCAGCCCCCGCCATCGCGCCTGAGCTGTTGGTCTGAGAACTCTTGAATGCCTGTCCGGGTTTTTCAAGAAGTCTTTGGGCAGCCTCGTGGAAACAGTTCGAAGCCTATTGGGGCGCCTGTCGGGGCCCCTTTTGGGGGTCCTTTGGGGTTCTTGGGTCCTTTTGGGGAGTCCTTTGGGACATGCTGCGGTATTCGGGATCCTGTTAGGGCGGGGACCTCGAAATATGGATTTGAATTCCCCCTTGGGGCACCTCTTAAGGCCTTCTTGGGGCTGTCTTGGGCAGGCCAGGATGCCTCTTAGGCCGTTTTGGTGTCCTTCTGGGCTGCCTCGGGACCCTCTTGGGGATCTATTTGGCCGTCTTGGGGCTCTCTTGGGGACCTCTGTGGCCGCCGTCTTGGACGCGGCGAAAATTGAAAAAACGAACTTGCTAGAAATGCACGTTTCTGAAAGGATGGGACAATGTTTGTTTTTTTCGGGGAGGGGGGGGGGGGGGGGCGTGACCCCGGAGGAGGAAATCGAGGGGATAGGGGGGGGGGAAGTGACGCCATGGCTGACGCCATTCAGGCTCGAGAGAGGAGGGGGGGAGGGCCGACGCCATGGCTGACGCCATTCACGCCTGGGACGGGGGAGTCCGGGGGGGGCGGGGATGGCTGACGCCATTCAGGCCCAGCGTGGAAGGGGACATCCCATGAGTTTGGCTGTTCACGCGAGATCGTCACTTTCGAATATCCGAAGGTTGCCCAATGGAGTTCAACATCTCTACCTTATGCGGATGTCTCGAGTGAATGCTCTACTTTTGAACATAAAAGGTCATCCGTTGCAAGCAGAAGCGGTAGCACCCCGGATCGGCGGCACTGGCCGGAGGCCACTACAATGTGCGTTCCTTAGAAGAAAAAGGATGGGAAGATGATTGTTTCTCCGGGCCCTGTCAAGGGTCTTCTTGGGGCCGTCTGGGTCGACGACTACCACGGGTGCGATTTGCGAAGGGTGCGGTTTGTCTCCCGTCATATCTGCCCCTCCCGCCCGTGGGAAACGGATGACACTGTCACTCAATGCGACCGAATCACATGACACCGTCGCTCCTTCTAGTACAATGGAGCACACATCGAGGATGGCAGTGTCGCTCGAAACCGACAACAGTTATGACATCGTCTCTCACAAAAGCCCGGACAGGCCGCCACAAAGCAACTCGCAAACCGCAGCCCGGCGTAACCGCACCGATTGTAATCGCCGACTGGGGGCGTCTCGGGGGCCTCCTGGGCCGTCTTGACGCCGCCCGGGCCAATCCGGAAGTTATTTTAGCCCGTCTGTGACCGACTTGCAACATACCCGGAAGCTCCTGGGGGGGCGGGGGAAGCTCCGGGAAGGTTCTGGAGAGGCCCCGGGGAGGCCCTGGGGGAAGAGGGGGAACTTAGTGTTGTTCAGGTGCCCCTGGTCTGCTGTGGCCCGGGGGGGCATGGGGTTGGTTTTCTGGTCTACCATACTAATACAATACATGTATACTTGTACATGTAAACCTACACATATACATATGTGTACATATACACACATACACATATACAGGCGCGTGCACATATACATTTACATATACCTATGAATATGCATACACATACACATAAACATATACATATACATATACGTGTATGTATATACATACAAATACTCGATCCACACGCATGCAGAAATATATAAACATGCACCTAAACATGTGGATTCTAAATGCATATACACATGATTGTACATGTACGTAAATATAAAGCATATGTGTACATATGTATATCTATATGCAAATGCATATACGTATACACGTGTATGTGCATGTACATAGACACAAATATAAACACACATATACATATATATAGGTGCACATAAATATTTATATATATGTGTGCACATATACATATGCGTGCCAATCGAATACATATACGGATAAAAATACTAGTATATATACATATACATACACAAATACATAATATAACCACGCGCGCGCTACGCGCGCGCTTTTACGTTCTAGCTTAGCCCGGGGCAACGGCCCAACAACGGACGGGGGGATCGAAGGCTGAACGCACTTCACTTCTTCGTCAAGGTTCGTGGGTCGTGGTCCGAAAAGCTTTTGGGCGTTCCTCACCCCCAGGCGGCCCAAGGAGGCCGAAAACGACACCTCTTCCTCGTCCTCCTCTCGCCCCTCTCCTCCTCCTCCTCCCCTCCTACTCTTCCTCCTCCGCTCATTGTCCCCTCCTTTTCCTCCTTCCTCCACCGCCTCCTCCTCCCCTCCTCCTCCTCTCCCTCCTCCTCCTCCTCTTCCTCCTCCTCCTCCTCATCCTCCTCTGCTCCTTCTCCTCCTCCTCCTCCTCCTCCTCCTCCTCATCCTCCGTTCTCCTCCTCCTCTCCTCTTCCTCATCATGTTTCTCCTCTTCCTCCTCCTCCTCCTCCGCTCCCCGTCCTCATTCTCCTCCTCCTCCTTCCTCCTCCTCCGTCTCCTCCTCCTCCTCATCCCCCTCCTTCTCCTCCTCCTCTTCGTCCTCCCCCTCCCCCTCCTCCTCCTCTTATTGTTATTCGTATGTTTATTATCATTAGCATTATTATGATTAATATTCGTCTCAGTCTTCTTTGTCGTTTTCTTAGTTTGCTGATTATTCTTATGAATAAGTATGGTTTCATCGTTATCAGTGTTCTTATTATTATGATCATCCATAGTACTATTGTTAATAGCATTAGCATTACTATTAGTATTGGTGGTATTATTGCTATGTTATGAAAAATACTATTCCTAGTAGTCTTCGTACTACGATTAGTCGCCTTCTTATTATTAGTCGTCTTATTAGTATTAGTCATACTACTATGGTAGTATGATGTGTATTATGAGTATGCATTGGTATGCTTATTATTCCTCCTCCTCCTCCTCCTCCTTCTCCTCAACCTCCTCCTCATCCTCCTCCTCCCCCTCCCCCTCACCCTCCTCCTCCTCCTCCTCCTTCCTGGGTCCTCCTCCTCCTCCTTGGCCCCATTGGCCCATGGGTCTCCTCCTCCTCCTCCTCCTCCTTGGGTCCTCCTCCTCCTCGGGCCATGGAGGTAGGAGCCAACATATGCGTGATGCGGGTGCTGTGGAAAATAAGATCGCCGCCTCAAGCTGGATACTCATATGGCGGTGTTGATTACAACGCTAATGTGCAGACGAATGGGCATTCTGGACCACACAAACACGGCAATGCTGAACCCACACAGCAGGTTGAACTGAGCGAGCACAGAGAGGAACCTGGTCGACATCCAGGAGGCCAGATGACATCTCTGCGTGCGCAGCTACGTCATGATCATGCCTGACACTGACTCCAAGAAGCCACACTGCGCCCGAGTGGAGCTCAGAGGGGAAGTCGCGTGCCTGGCCTTGCCACAGAGTGGGTGGTACGCGATGCCCTCGCACACGGACTCGCACTCGGGCACTGGCACGGTGACAAGGTAGCTGGGCAGGTTCCTGGCGAGGGAAGAGGCCATCGGGCGAGCGGATGCCGGCGGCCGCTGCCACCGACAGAGTCGTACGCGCGCGCGCGCGTGCAGAGCGGCCGATGCCCTCCTAGTGGCTGGAGCGTCCACGCTACCTCTTCAAGCAGGTACGAGACCCTCATTACGTCAGCTGGTCGAAGCGCCCCCATGAGGGTGAGCGACATGGGGAGAATGGCTCGGGGGGAAGCCTCGGACTGAAATCGGCGATGCACCTCCAGTTGATCGGCGATTGGCCCTCGATGGCGAAACTGCAGGCTCCTCGGCTGGATCGAGGACCCAGGCCCAGATCGGCGATGAATGGGCCACTTAGGGGTCGACGCTTCCACCCCTGAGCGAATGCCCCCGTTCCGCCACTCCCAGCAACCTCATCCTCCTCAGCCCTCCCCCGTCTGCGACGAAGGAGGGTGCGAGTCCCAGCTGACTCTTGGGCACAGGTGACTTGCACACAGCGCAGTTTGCGCACGTGGCGCATCTGGCGCACCAGGCGCGCCTGGCTCGCTTGGGCTCCCGGGTCACCTGGAGCACCAGGTGAGCGTGGCTCAACTCGCACGCATGGCGTATCTCGTGCGCGTCGCGCACCTAGCGCCCGAGAGGTTCCCGATGGCTCTCAATCCGATGGCGACCCATGGTTGTCTCGGGTGCTACCAACCTGATCGGACAAGAACGGGAAGCACCACTTTAGTCCAATGGGCAGATTGAGCGAAGAAGAAGACATGATCGACCCACGAACCCGGAAAAGAATATCGAAATGTAAGGCATGGCAACGCTTCAAAGACACCTGATTGGGCGACGGGCAAATGCAATGCTGAGTGTACCGATCTTGATGTACCGTGCCGAGGGCTGTGCTGTGCTGCGCCGTGCTGAATTGCGATGTGCCATGCCGAGATTGTGCCCTATAGCGTTGTGGATCGAGTCCTCCTTTGCATCCGAGTCCTGACCGAACTGATCTGGATCTTAAGCTCGAGCTGCCTGGGCATATAGTAGCTGCCCCAGAGCTAATTCACAGGGGAACATGCCAGGAGGACGCGCCGCGGAACGTTCCAACCGCGGGACGTGCCAAGGGGACGCGCCGCGCGACGTGCCAGGGGGACTCGCCACGGGACGCGCCACAGAACGTGCAAAGGAACGTGCCAGGTTGCAATGCTGAGTGTATCGATCTTGATGGACCGTGCCGAGGGCTGTGCTGTGCTGCGCCGTGCTGGATTGCGATGTGCCATGCCGCGGCTGTGCTCTATGGTGTTGTGGATCGAGTCCTCCTTTGCATCCGAGTCCTGACCGAACTGATCTGGATCTTAAGCTCGAGCTGCCTGAGCCTGAGCACATAGTAGCTGCCCCAGAGCTAATTCACAGGGAAAGATGCCAGGAGGACGCGCCGCGGAACGTTCCAAGGGACGCGCCAAACAACGTGCCAGGGGACGTGCCATGGGGACGCACCCTGGGACGTGCCAAAGGGGACGCGCTACGGAACGTGCCGATGGACGTGCCACCTCATGCTAGACATCCGCCTGGGCGAAATGGAAAGGAAAATTATCCCGGCAAAGCAACCTAACAGCGATGTGTAGGAGCATATCTGGAAGCATTCCCCTTAAGATTCAGATGAGAATCCAGTTGTAGAGTTCTGCTGTTCTCGCAGTCGTAGTCGCATTCGCGATGGCAGTCGCAGTGGCCGGCATGCAGTCACAGCCTCAGCCTCAGCCTGCCTCAGCCTCAGCCTCAGCCTGCCTCAGCCTCAGCCTCAGCCTGCAGCCTCAGCCTCAGCCTGCTTCAGCCTCAGCCTCAGTCTGCCTTCAGCCTCGGCCTCAGCCTCAGCCTGCCTCAGCCTCAGCCTGCATCAGCCTCAGCCTCAGCCTCAGCCTGCCTCAGCCTGCAGCCTGCCTCAGCCTCAGCCTCAGCCTCAGCCTCAGCCTCAGCCTCAGCCTCAGCCTCAGCCTCAGCCTGCCTTCAGCCTCAGCCTCAGTCTGCCTTCAGCCTCTGCCTCAGCCTCAGCCTCAGCCTCAGCCTCAGCCTGCCTCAGCCTCAGCCTGCCTCAGCCTCAGCCTCAGCCTGCAGCTGCCAGCTGCCTCAGCCTCAGCCTCAGCCTCAGCCTCAGCCTCAGCCTGCCTCAGCCTCAGAGCCTCAGCCTGCAGCCTCAGCCTCAGCCTGCCTTCCTCAGCCTCGCCTCAGCCTCAGGCCTCAGCCTCAGCCTCAGCCTCAGCCTCAGCCTCAGCCTCAGCCTCAGCCTCAGCCTCAGCCTCAGCCTCAGCCTCAGCCTCAGCCTCAGCCTGCCTCAGCCTCAGCCTCAGCCTGCCTCAGCCTCAGCCTCAGCCTGCAGCCTCAGCCTCAGTCTGCCTTCAGCCTCGGCCTCAGCCTCAGCCTGCCTCAGCCTCAGCCTGCCTCAGCCTCAGCCTCAGCCTCAGCCTGCCTCAGCCTCAGCCTCAGCCTGCCTCAGCCTCAGTCAGCCTGCCTCAGCCTCAGCCTCAGCCTCAGCCTGCCTTCAGCCTCAGCCTCAGCCTCTGCCTTCAGCCTCTCGGCCTCAGCCTCAGCCTGCCTCAGCCTCAGCCTGCATCAGCCTCAGCCTCAGCCTCAGCCTGCCTCAGCCTCAGCCTGCATCAGCCTCAGCCTGCCTCAGCCTCAGCCAGCCTGCATCAGCCTCAGCCTCAGTCTGCCTTCAGCCTCGGCCTCAGCCTCAGCCTGCCTCAGCCTGCCTCAGCCTGCCTCAGCCTCAGCATCAGCCTGCCTCAGCATTCAAAATGTGGCCAGGGAATGGAATTCTGGGAACTCGAAGAACACGAAGTGGCCTACAGTTTGCTCCGGGCATTCAAAATCATGCCCAGGAATGGAGTTCTGGGAAGTCCAAGAGCACGAAGCGGCCTACAGTTTGCTCCGGGCATCCAAAATGTGGCCCGGAAATGGAGTTCTGGGAACTCGAAGACCACGAAGTGGCCTACAGTTGGCTCCGGGCATCCAAAATGTGGCCCGGGAATGGAGTTCTGGGAACTCGAAGACCACGAAGTGGCCTACAGTTGGCTCCGGGCATCCAAAATGTGGCCCGGGAATGGAGTTCTGGGAACTCGAAGACCACGAAGTGGCCTACAGTTGGCTCCGGGCATCCAAAATGTACGCCGGGAATGGAGTTCTAGCAGCGCCAAGAGCGATTTTGCGAGGATGTCCCAGGCGATTTGGGCTTCGGCGGCAGCCGCCCCGGGTCCCGCCACGACCCCCCTGAGGAGTCATGATGCTCTCTTTTGACACCACTAGAAACCTATCAGTCTTCGCTGTTAGGTAACAAGTGGTTCGCTCGAGACATCCTCAACACATCTTCATCTCAGATGTCCGTTCCAGGCCCCAAGGAAGGCCCCAAGAGGCCCATGTTAGATACCCCCTGGGTGGTCTGGACACGTGGAAACACCTGGTTCCGCCATGTTCAATACCCCCCTGGGCGGCCTGAACACGTAAAACCACGCGTTTCCAATTCGGGACAATCATGTTAGGTACCCCCTGGGTGGCCTAGACACGTAAACACACGTGGGACCAGCTCTGGGCAACCATGTTAGATACACACCTGGGCGGCCTGGACACGCTAAAACACGCGATCCTTGCTCGGGACAACAATGTTAGATATCCCCCTGGGTGGCCTGCACACGTAAAAACACTTGGTGCCAGCTCGGGACAATCATGTTAGATACCACCCTGGGCGGCCTGAACACATAAAAACACATGGCTTAAGCTCGGGACAATCATGTTAGGTATCCCCATGGGTGGCCTGGACACGTGAACACACGTGGGACCAGCTCTGGGCAACCATGTTAAATACACCCGTAGGTGACCTGGACACGTTAAAACACGTGGTCCTTGCTCGGGACAACTATGTTAGATATTCCCTTGGGTGGCCTGGACACGCCAAAACACGTGGTGCCAGCTCGGGACTATCATGTCAGATACCCCACTGGGTGGCCTGAACATGTTAAAACACTTGGATCCAGCTCTGAGCAACCATGTTAGATACACCCCTGGGTGGCCTGCACGCGTAAAAACACGATGGTCCTGGCTCGGAACAACCATGTTAGATACCCCCCCGGGTGACCTGGACACATAAAAACTACTCGGCCCCCCGCACTTCCAGGGCCACGATCCCCAGTACATTGCGCGGCATCCGCGCTCCCAGGGAGCGCCAAGATGCCTTGCAAATTACGCGGCGTCCGCGCTCCCAAAGCCGCGATCCCTTTTTTTATGTGTTTTATTATTATTATTTACATATATATATATATATAATATATATATATATATATATATATTTCGCCCAGAGCCGCGCTCCCTCGTAAATTACCCTGGGTGCGCGCTCCCAGAACCCCCTGGGCACGGGACAACCATGTTAGACTGGGAAGCACAAAGACATACCAGTACTATATGTCCTCCCTTGGAGGCGCGCGTCCGACCCGAACATGTAGTATACCCATCTTGTAGTATATCGTTTCCCGAGCGGTGTGGCCAGAAAGCGCCCGCCACGACGCATATACTATAAGATTTCTCGGTGCGCGCGTCGCCCCTGGGGGGGCGACGCACATATAGTATAAGTATGTTGGGGTGTTGCCGATTAGATACCCCCATGGGTGGCCTGGACACGCAAAAATGGCTCAGCCCCCGCACTCCCAGGGCCACGATCCCTGATATATCACGCGGCATCCGCGCTCCCAGGGCCAGGATCCCCTGTAAACTACGCGGCGTCCGCGTTCCCAAAGCTGCGATCCATCGTAAATTACGCTGGCTTTGCGCTCACAGAACCCCTGGGCATCCTTGAGCGCCCAGGCCCATCAAATTTGATTCTGCGCGCAGGACGCGCCATCTTCGAGCAGGACGCGCCATCCTCGAGCGGACGCGCCATCCTCGAGGAATGTCCTGGTCGGGGCTCCAGACCTCGGTCTTTGTTTGAGGATTCTGCTAAAAATGCCCCGCACTTTTACGAAGGAAAACGGTGGTCTGCGGACCCCGTTA